GTTTACATGGCGACATTCAACGTTCGCACTCTAAGACAAACAGGTCAACAGGCTGCACTCGCACGCACCTTGGACACACTGAGTATTCATGTGTGTTGTGTGTCCGAAACTAGGATCAATGACCCTAACGGGGTTATTGAATTAACTGCACCCGGCTTATCCTCCCGTTATTGGTTGCACGCATCCGGAGACGCCGGTACAGCACTCACGGGTCAAGCTGGTGTAGGTATTATTCTAACCTCCAAGGCTGAGCCATCGTTGGTTGATTGGATTCCGGTGAATCGCCGTTTATGTGCAGCCAGTTTGGAAACATCAGAAAAGGTAGATTCACGAAGTAATATAAAACGCTGCTCGTTTGTGATTAGCGCTTATGCACCCATTGACTGCAGTTCTAATGCTGTCAGGGACAGTCTATCACGAACTGAACGTGCTGCTACGCAGTGCTACTAGTTCAGCTATTCTAGTACTTGCAGGGGATCTGAACGCACATGTAGGACGTCTGAGCTCTTCAGAAGCTCAGCTGGGTGGTAATTATGGGCTTAACTCCGAACGGACTAACAACGGTGAGCGTCTGCTGCAGTTGTGTGAGGAGCACCAGTTGTTTTATAGTAGTACTGCTTTTAGACACAGTGGACGCCGAAGTGCCACTTGGCGTCCTCCTGTAGCTGGCCAGCGATGGACCCAAATTGACTACATAGCCATAATTTACAGATGACGTGGTTCCATGCTGGATTGCCGCTCGTACTGGAGTAACTGCGTCGACTCTGATCATGCTTTGGTACGCTGTCGTTTCTCCATGAACTTTACCGGGAGGCGCACCAAACGTCCCCTCCAATTGGCAACTGAGAAATTGTCTCAGCCCTTGGTCAGGCAAGCCTATCAAGACGCACTGCGTACCGAACTTTCGCTGTCTTGTCCTAATGACATTGAGCTTCAGTGGAATAGGATCTCGGCCGCCATGCACGACGCAGGAGCATCTGCTTGTGGCACTATCAATGGCTACTGCACCAGTCACTGGATATCCGAAAGGTCGGTGGAATCTAGAAGACACCTTCCGGCTGGTTCTGAACACAATGTGACCAGACGGGCTATTAGGCGTGAACTAAAGCGGAGGCTACGTACTGACAAGGAAGCCTGGTGGACCAGTAGGGATCAAGAAATGGAGGAGGCAGGAGCAGTAGGCAATTACCGGAAGCTCTTCCAGCTACTCCGCACCACTGGTCCCAGAAAACCAGGCGTCAGTGAGACAGAGACAGCGCGGGTGCCCTGATACACAATAAGGAGCGCCGTATGGCTCGTTGGGCGGAACACTTTCAAGATCAGTTCAACTGGACCCTGCTCCCGGACGAGTCAAGGACGGTTAGTTTAGAGCCTCCATCGGAGGCCGAGGTACGAAACGTGATCACAACCCTCAGCCGTTTTCGTGCCGCTGGCCCGAATTCCCTCCTACCTGCACTATTTAAGGATGGAGGTGAGGTCCTCTGCAAAGTACTGACCACCCTATTCAAACGTAGTTGGAAGGAAGTGTCCCGGCTGATTGGAGCAAATCGATTATAGTGGCAATATATATATATATATATATATATGTATACAAAGGGCAGTTGCACAGATTGTTCTAACCACAGGGGGTATTAGCCTAACGCCAGTTGTGCCAAAATTATTGGCCTTGATTATCGTTCGTCGTCTCACTGCGGAACGGGAATCTTGGATTAGGGAAGAGCAGGCCGGTCTCCGCCCAGGACGTGGCTGTATAGAACATACATTCACTTTGCGGCAGGTGCTAGAGCAGCGCCACGCATACCACAGACCGACAATAGCTGTGTTCCTCAATTTCAAGAGTGCGTTCGATTCAATCGATCGATCGATTCTGTTCGAAATACTTGCGCTGAAAGGTGTTCCCACGAAATAGGTGAACATCCTACGTACTCTATACTCGAACACTAGAGGCCGCGTCAGGGTCTACGGTGTCCTATCGGATAGCTTTCCGACCACAAGTGGCGTTCGTCAAGGTTGTCCGATTTCATCATTTTATTCGATTTCGTCGTGGATTCTATCATGGAGTGTTCCCTTGCGGAATCTCACGATGTAGGTGTTGAAGTGCTGCCTGGTGAAAAGTCAGTTGATCTGGATTATGCGGACGATATCGTCTTGCTTTTCAACCATTTTGCGACGGCACAATCAACCCTGAATAGCCTGTCCAGAATGGTCCCATTATTTGGTATGCACTTCGCACCTTCAAAGAGTTGCTGTAGAACCACCAGCCACTTAATGTACCCTTGTTAACGAGGAACTCGACGTGATTGATCAATTCACTTATCGTGGGAGCTGCACTAGCAACGATGGGCGCATAGAAACTGACGTCCGCTCACGCATTGCAAAAGCCAGAGATACGTTCCTGAACCTGCGTCATCTTAGGCGACAGAAGGGAATTTCTCTCCGTCTGAAAGGCCGTGTATACAAGGCCATAGTGAGGGCCATTCTGCTCTAAGGTAGTGAAACTTGTCCCCTTCGGTGTGAAGATCTGAGGCGCCTTCAAGTCTTTGATCATCGTTGTTTGCGAAACATTGCTGGTGTCGGATGGCACCAGCGTGTAAGCAACCATGATGTAGGTATGCGAGTTCTAGGTAGTGATAACCATGCTAGCTCCTTAGAACAACAGATAGCACTGAATAAGTTGCGTTGGCTCGGGCACCTGCTACGTATGCCTGGTCACCGCTTACTTAGGAGGACCTTGTTCAGTCTGCCAGGTGTAGGGTGGCGCAAGGCTCGAGGTGAACAGAAGTTGACTTGGCAGCGGGAAATAAAGTCACCGACGACCAAACTGGGTGTCGTTGGTCCGCCTCGCCTTCCGGGCTGGAGTCCACGTGACCCGCCTTGTGCTTGGCTCGAGACTTTACTGGATATGGCTCGCAACCGACATCAGTGGCGCGTCTGCTGCCGTCTTCTAATCGGATTGCCTGTTTTAAGTATGTTTGGTACTGGGTTATCTGCGGGGTAACGTCTGAAGTGAAAGCCGCAAGGATGCTGTATCGCCGATGCCGCCTTATTTTTGCACGATAGTCAGCTGTTTGTGACGGTATGTTGTCTACACAAGGTGTAGGCGCCTTGACCCTGAATGTGTGCTTAGAGCATTAAGGTTTTTAGGTAAGTCCCCCTTCTCTCCCTCTTATTATTGATTATTTCGTAGGTTATCATGGTTGTATGGTAGCGAAGAATCAGTTGAAATGGCTGATGTACTGCTGTTGATGGCGATGTATCACCCAGCAGCCAACGGGTTAGTTGAACGCTTCCATAGACAGCTTACAGCCTCGCTCTGCGCCTCCTCCGATCCTAGCCTGAGCGAAAAGGTTTCGCTCGTACTCTTAGGAATTCGCAGCAGCATCAAAGCCGACTTGCAGTGTGCACCAGCAGAGCTGGTTTACGGCACAACGCTCAAGTTGCCAGGAGAATTCGTATCACCTCCCGCATCGACGGGTATGCCTCCGCCTGACTTTGAGTCCTCCCTAGCTCAACGCATGAGTTCGCTAGGCCCGACTTCGCGCCGTGATCAGACTGGAAAAGTGCAAATGCACAGCGAACTCTCTGCCTGCACTCACGTCTTTCTTCGCCCTGACGCAGTGCGGCGCCCTCTCCAGCCTCCTGCAACGGACCTTAAAACATTGCACTTTAGACCAGAATGGTCACCGAACAAGGATGCCCATCGACCGACTCAACGTGGCTTTCTTTGACGAACCACTTGCAACCCATCCTGATGCTATCACACAAGCACCCGCATCTGCGGTGACTTCCCGAGCATTGGATACCCCGAAACCCTCTGTTCTCCTTGACCAGCAATCTATCCCGCCTCAAGCCTAAGCAACCGACCGGCGCGGTAGACAGTTCAAACGTCCGATCCGTTTTTCAGATTTTGTAAACGTTTGCTATTTCCATTAATATGCCTTTTTCGTCTTGAGTAGTAATCGTGCGTCTCATCCACAAACATTTTGCAAAATCGACAAAAATCCCAAAACATTTTGAAAACTTAGAAAACGTATTTGCTTTTATCATGCATGCCATGTACCCTCTCCGGCGTCAAGCCACTTCCCCCGACCCTTGCCCACCCCATATGAGTTCTACCTTCCAGAAACCGGAATTGCCAAGGCAAGCCTCAAGTGACTAGCCAACCGGCTCAACGCAACCCCCGAGTGACTCGCCAGCCGACCCAAGGCCACCTTCCTCACCCAAGGAACAGTCAGTCGCCCTCGGTCGCAGACAGCCACACACGGGTTGGTCCCCAAACGCCTGGCTAGGTGCTGCCGACAAGGATGCCGGATTTCTTCGTGGGACGAGGAGGCCTGGATTTCTTCGTGGGACGAGAACCGTGAACTGGAGTGCAGTGGGGGGAGTGACACCTCCCAAGCGCACCGTCGGGTCTGCAGCGAAGGGAAGGTCCTGTCGGCCTTTTTTCTGGACTAACCAGTTTTTTGCAGTCCGACCAGCCCGCCCCGACGGCCCACCGATGATGCACTCTGGTCCACCTGATCATCATAAATGATAAACAACAAAAGTCTGGACCCAGCGAACTCTGCTACACACCCCATCTTGGAAGCCCTTGGTCAAGCCTATGCAACTATTCACACTCATCCTCACATTCCGTTTTCCCGCACTAACATCTCCATCGAAGGCTTCCAACCTTCAGCCTTCTAGGGGGAGACCCTTGTAATGTATCGGAAAACACGCTCTTTCAGTATTTTGCAACATTGGATGTTACGGTTGTTTTAACCTTCAAAACGTCCACTTGTTTTACCGACTGCACATCCGTTTTCACAACTCGTTTTGGTGAGTTCCTTGCTGCACCGTTTCTCGCTCTGGTTGATTCGCTTCCTACTTTTGTAGCCTGCACAATATACGTTGGGTTCAGTCGCCTCCAACTTCTATACTGTCCCGTATTTGACACGGCTCTTACGTGTCATTGGTTACCGACTAGTATCCCAGGCTCCACTCAACAAGAACGAAGTTGTGGCAACTCACTCAAAAGGTGATGAAATAAAAATTGGCCAGAGAATTAAGGCCAATGTTAAGTTTTGTGCTGGACGTAAGAAAAAACAAATGCCGCACATTCATCGGAGCCAAGAAACAATGAGATAATTGGGATAAGACGGAGTAGGTTATGCGACCCGCGTGCTTGTGAGTAGGTTGTCCGTGTGTGGCTTCTCTCAATAACGTGCCACGTATAGTGCAACGCCGAGGTGGCTAGTGGATAACAAACCAGAAAAAATCCTTTGAAGGCTAATTGGGGTCGGCACCGTCGTCGTGCTCACCACGCATATCGTATTGACAGGCTATGATGATTGCCTATTTGCAAAAAATGTACATTTGAAATGCAAAAGGCTTCATTAGTATAACAAAGTGAACAAACAACTGTGGAACGGAAGATGTACAAAACGATCCAAACTGCCAAACGCAGCACAAGCCAAGCAGTCTAGATAACTGGATCAACTTGTCCTATATGATATGAATGGGTCATAAACTACCGGGAATCTTTCCGATAAAGTGAATCACGCCTTCATAGGGGCCGACGTGGATTCTTCATCAGGTTTAGGATTTTGTTGAGGCGGGATATCAGTACGTGGTCGCCGAAACAAGATAATGTGGGGTTCAGGCTCATGTATCATATAATGGACCCAACCAGCTGATTGCTGTATGCCTAACTCTCGCCATTCGTATTCCGACATCAAGCGATTTCTTGGAACTTTCTTTGCGAGTTCTTTAGGCAAATGCACATGGCTACAGAAAACATAAGAAGTTGTGCAGAAAATCTCACCGGTACTCGTTGACATCGTCATGGTATTTGTCCGAATAGTAAATGTTTCGATTAGACATTGTAATATGGACCGTCACAAGCCACTTAACTGAAAGAAGACCAAAAGAAAAAAATTACTCGCGGTTGCGATAACCCACGAGGTCAACAACACAGTTAAAAATACACGATGAAAGGCGAGATATAACAGGATATATATTGACAAAGGTAACACAGATTAGCATGGACACAATAGGCTCTAAAAAACAAATCAGAGCACGTGCTTAAGTTCGGGGCTGTGCTTCACGGCTACTATATCTATGCTTTAGGAATACACAACAAAACGGGAAAACACTTTGTTCCGGTAGATTTTATATCTGTTCATAACCTAGATACATCAGATAATTTTGCCTTTCAACTGTCAGCAAACATAATGGAGTTGTAGCGCAATGAGTGGTTAATTTATTGTGCTGTCAAACGAAACACAGTTTCGAGGAAAACGGTGATATGGTTGTGTACGATGTGCTGCGAAATGAAGTGGCGAACGGATGCATTGTATCGTTATACACCCGAAATGACACTACGCAAGATAGGGATGCAAAGGAGCTAGACGAGGTACTGAAACCTATTTTGCTCCTACTGTGGATACAAATGTGCAGAAACTCGTAAAATGGTGTTGTGATTTTATCCACCACTATTATATATATCTTCGTCGTCTGACCATCAGACAACGGTGGTGCCGGCGACAACACAAAAAACCGACTCCGGTATGATGCGTGAAAAGCAACGAGACTGGACCTTAATGTGGTGCGATGGTTTGCGTTCCTCAAAGATCCACTGGGCTACGTTGGATGGTGATTCTTGCACCTTCAGAGGTACTCATATCAGATGGGTCAATGGTTAAAGGCCAGCTAAACCTAGTCTCCTGACTCTCCGGCTTGGGGTTGGAGTGAGGGTACCTCTTTACTCCATGAAACGGGTTCTCTGTAGCTGAGTATCAAAACCACGCTACCACATGATCAGGTTTTTGAACAAAACGCTTTGGTTGAGAAACCTAATCGTTCTCCTGCCCAGGCCTAAGCAAGGTGACAGTATCCTGCCTATGAAATACAATGAACTTCTCTTTAAACAATTTATTAATGCTCTAGCCGCCGCAGCAGATAATCAACGGCGCCAAATCTGCTGTATTGAACGAAGTGGATAGAGGTGTGGATACAACTGCTCGGGCCTTCCCGGCTTCTTATTCCACATCTTGCACATTTTCATCATTAATGTCTCATTCTGACTTCACTTTTATCCCTCTGTTTTTAACCCCCCCCCCCAATCCTTGGCCCTCTCTTATCTTGCTTCAATATCCGTCTTCTGGTTCCAGCGCATACGCAATTGCAACGCGTGGCTCTGGTCCACACAAAAAGTGTATGCTTAACCAAGCGGACAACGTCAGTTCATCTGTGTTTATTTTGAGTCCTCGATCAACGCCAAAACTGGGATGTCTAAACATGTGAAATTTGTTGCAGATTGGTAAACAGGCAGCACTTGCCAGAACACTAGAGATCTTATCTCCATTTTACCGGAAACCCGCGCCAGCAAAATTAGAGGTCTGCACTTGCTCTGCGATCTTCCATAAGCAGCTCTGGCCGTACTTTCTCACTGAGCTTGTCCGGAGATGATGCAGCTTCATACGCCGGTCAAGCCGATGCGTACATTGCTTTGAGCCCCCGGGCTGAACCGGCCCTGATCTATTAGATCTCAACGAACAGCAGAATGTGCAACGTTGTATTAGCTGGCCCGTTCAAACCGTCGAACTAGCACAGGGTCAAAAGTTGCCTGTTTGTTATTGCTGCGTACTCCCGCATAACTTTAACACTGACCCGGTAAAAGATAACTTTCATCACCAAATGAAGGAGCTCATGCGCTACGGAAAAATGTACTAATACTGTGGTGCTCGCTGGTGATCTGAACGCTCAGATTGGAAAACTGTCCACTGATGAGCTGCATCTGGGAGAGAACATGGTATTAGCACCCATAATGATAACGGTGAGTAGTAGCTACGCCTGTGTGGAGATGCTCGTCTATTTTTCGCAAAAACCCACTTCCGCCGCAGCACTCGCAGAGGTGCGACATGGCACCTACCAGACTCGGAATAGCCATGGACGCAAATCGATCACATCGCGATCAGTTACCGCTGGAGAGGCTGTGACAAAAACCGTCGATCAATTTGGAGAACGAGCGTTGTCTGCGAGCAAGCACTTGTATGCGCCGACCTGCTGGTAGGTTTCGGCGGACGTCCGCAATGATGCTGTGAGCGCATAGTTACACGTACTTAAAGTACGCTGGCATGCGGGTTGAGCTGAGGATCAATGGTCGCATACTCGCCAGATGTTACTATCAAAAGGTATGTTTTCATGTGGCAAATAAAACTACAAATCTGGACGTTGGGTCATTATGCAGTCTCTAGAATTTTTGGATGCTCACCGACCTGTTTCGGCTGGAAGCGAACACGAGATTCACAAAAATCTTGGGGCAAAACTGTTTTAGTCCGAAAAGAGGCTGCAAAATTTAGTGGTCACGTCGTGCATCGGAGATGAAAACAGCCGCTGCTCTTGGTAGTCATCAGAAGTTATTCCGTATGATACGGGAAACGGGCAGCAGGAGACCTAGTATTAGCGAGTCCATACGCGATGAGAGTGCACAGTCAATCTACCGATTTCAAAAATGCTTGGAACTGTGGGCCGATTAATTCACAAAGCAGTTTAATCAACAAGAGTTATCATCTATTACGCCCGTTGACTGCAATTCTTCATGGGTCAACCATCAGATATACACTTACACGCAGAAGTCGAAAGTGAGATCAGACTGTCGAAATTAAATAAGGCTGTCAGGAGCAGAAAGACTTCATGGAGATTTCCGATGCTAAGCTATTTTGTATAATTTGCACAACACATGAGTCAACGTGTGCGAGCAAAAGGCTATCGAAACAGACTAGAGCCGCTACGTTATTCTCATCATCACCAACAGCAGTACATCAGCCATATGAAATGATGCTTCCCTACCATACAACCATGATGATGATGATGAATAAATAATGAATAATAAGTGGGAGAGAAGGAGGACTTACCTGAAAACCTTAATGCCCTAAGCACATTCAGGGTCAAGGCGCCTACACCTTGTGTAGACAACATACCGTCACAAACAGCTGGCTATCGTGCAAAGACAAGGCGGCATCGCCGATACAGCTTACTTGCAGCTTTCACTACCACGCGTCATAATCAGACATTACTCCGCAGATAACCCAGCACAAAACACACTTTAAACAGGCAAGCCGATTAGGAGACGGCAGCAGACGCGCCACTGGTGTCGGTTGCGAGCCATATCCTGTAAAGTCTCGAGCAAAGCACAAAGCGAGTCACGTGGACTCCAGCCCAGAAGGCGAGACGGACCAACGACACCCAGTTTGGTCGTCGGTGACTTTATTTCCTGCTGCCAAGTCAACTTCTGTCCACCTCGAGCCTTGCGCCACTCTACACCTGGTAGACTGAACAAGGCCCTCCTAGGTAAGCGGTGACCAGGCATACGTAACACGTGCCCGCGCCAACGCAACTTATTCAGTGCGATCTGTTGTTCTAAGGAGCTAGCATGATTATCACTACCTAAAACTCGCCTACCTACATCATGGTTGCGGACACGCTGGTGCCATCCGACACCAGCAATGCTTCGCAGACAACGATGATCAAAGACTTGAAGCCCCCTCAGATTATCAGACCGAAGGGGACAAGTCTCACTACCTTAGAGCAGAATGGCCCTCACTGTGGCCTTGCATACGCGGTCTTTCAGACGGAGAGAAATGCCTTTCTGTCGCCAAAGATGCCGCAGGTTCAAGAAGGCAGCTCTGGCCTTTGCAATGCGTGAGCTGACGTCAGTTTCTATGCGCCCATCGTTGCTGATGCAGCTGCCAAGATAAGTGAATTGATCAACCACCTCGAGTTCCTCGTTAGCAAGGGTCAAGGGTACATCAAGTGGCTGGTGGTTCTACAGCAACACTTTGAATGTGCCAAGTACATACCAAATAATGGGACCACTCTGGACAGGCTATTCAGGATTGATTGTGCCGTCGGAAAATGGCTGGAAAGCAAGACGATATCGTCCGAACAATCTAGATCAAGTAACCTTTCACCAGGCAGCACTTCAACGCCTACATCGTGAGATTCCGCAAGGGAACACTCCATGATAGAATTCAGGACGAAAGTGAGGAAAAATGGGGAAATCGGACAACCCTGATGAACGCCACTTGTGGTCGGAAAGCTATCCGATAGGACACCGTAGACCCTGACGCGGCCTGTAGTGTTCGAGTATAGAGTACGTAGGATGTTCACATATTTCGTGGGAACACCTTTCCGCGCAAGTATTTCGAACAGAATCGATCGATCGACTGAATCGAACGCACTCTTGAAATGGAGGAACACAGCTATTGTCGGTCTGCTATGCGTGGCGCTGCTCTAGCACCTGCCGCAAAGTGAATATATGTTCCATACAGCCACGTCCTGGGCGGAAACCGGCCTGCTCTTCCCTAATCCGAGATTCCCGTTCCGCAGTGAGGCGACAAACAATAATTGAGGCCAATAATTTTGTCACAACTGGCGTTAGGCTAATACCCCCTGTGGTTAGAACAATCTGTGCGACTGCCCTTTTTATATATTGCCACTATAATCGATTCGCTCCCATCAGCCGGGACACTTCCTTCCAGATACGTTTGAATAGGGAGGTCAGTGCTTTGCAGAGGACCTCACCTCCATCCTTAAATAGTGCAGGTGGAAGGAAATGCGGGCCAGCGGCACGAAAACGATTGAGGGTTGTGATCGCATTTCGTATCTCGGCCTCCGATGGAGGCGCTAAACTAACCGTCCATGGCTCGTCCTGCATCACCTGAGTAGGAAGAGATCCGGGAGCAGGGGGCCAGCTGAACTGATCTTGAAAGTGTTCCGCCCAAAGAGCCATACGGCGCTCTTTATTGTCTATCAGGGCACCCGTCCATACGCCTCTGTTGGTTGGTGATCGGAGACTCATCCGCCTCACAAGTAACCTCACTGACACCGTTTCCTGAGGCCAGTGGAC